TTCTTATTTTTATGACAAAACTCTCCTAGTTATATCCCTCAAAAAGATTCCATGAAGTCATGTCTAACATTTGTAACTGTATGAATATAAATATTTAAGTTCACTGTAGCACCATAGATCCACACTAAAACATTAAAGTGTGAAACGGCTCTTCCTGCCCTCCACAAAAATTTGTGACACAGAACTTTTTCACACCCAAATGTGAAATATGATTCACACCCAGAATGCATCATAATTTGCATAGAGACTTCATTAACACTGGAGCATTTTTGTGTATATAGCTACATAAAATCTTAGGCACATCAGTGATAAATAAATAATAATTGAGACTGGTAGTGGCAGCATCTAATTGGTTAGAGAAAACTACAAAATTACTTCAATTTTACTAACGACAATTCCTACATATATAGTTTTTTCAGAGAGTCTCGCTCTGTTGCCCAGGCTAGAATGCGGTGGCACAATATACCTCACTGTAGCCTTGAATTCCTGGGCTTAAGGTTCCTGCCTCGGCCTCCTGAGTAGCTAGGACTATAGATGCATACCTCACGCCTGGCTTATTTTAAAAAGTAAATAAAAAATAGTGAGCTGGAGTCTCACTATGTTGCTTGGCTGGTCTGAAACTCCTGGGCTCAGGTGATTCTTTAGCTTCAGTCTCCCAAAGTGCTGGGATCACAGGTGTGAGCCACCATATTTGGCCAATGATTACAATTAATAATGCTTTATTTCCTATGTTATCATATAAATGGCCCATAAAGTTTGCATTATGTGACTCCCACTACCACTGTTACATAACAGCCCTTGATACACGTTTTAGGTACACAGCACAATCACTACCATCACCATTATCAAGCAACGACACATGTCCAAGTCCTTTAAAACCTTAAAAATGGAGCAGGATAGAGTGAGAAGTGGAGAGGAAAAAAGCAAGTGATGAGCATATATAAATGTGCACGTCTTTAGAATACGAACATGGATTCTGGAAATTTCTGGAGCCTTAAGTCAACTTCAATAATTGGTTCACAGATATTTCCCACTAAACACCACCCTGTCCTATGCCAGCCTGCACAGACATAGCAAAATGTAGCTTACAGATTTCTGTCATGTCTTTAGGAATAAAACAGCTGAATATGACCTGGAAACAGTTGCTGTCCTGTGGGTTTGATACCAGGATATAATCGTTTCAATTAAAAAGAACTGCCAAGAAGAAAAATGTATCTTCACATTCAACTCTCTAATAAGGAGTTTTCCACATTTGCCTCAAATGCAGAAAAATAGTTTTTTTCTGGCATTATCGTATGCAAAAAAGAGTGGCAAATATTCTAAAAATGGTTTATAACATGAAGGGTAGTAGAATATGCCACTTAAAAATTTGCCACTTCGGCATAAGAATTATTATGAGGTACAGGCAATGAAAAAGGAGGAGACACAAGAAAAAGTCTCTGCTCTCCCTCTTTCTACCAGGAAGGGCAAGGCAATCACTGGAGACAACTCTCCTATATCAGCCCAGAGACGGCATCAGAGGAATCTGCACAACACATCTCACTATCCCTATCTTCCATTAGTTTCTCCCATATATTTACCTTCCTACGATTTTACCCCCTGGAAGCTCAAAATCCTTTTCTTTTGTCTTTTTCACTTCTCTAAAAAACTTTTTTTTTTTTTTTGGGTTAAGATGCTATACAAGTCCAAGCTCTAACCAACTCTCTGGGTTACTCATTCCCATGCGCATGTAAATACACATGTTAATAAACTTCTGTTCATTTTTCTTTGCTAATCTGTCTTTTACCAGTCTAATTTACACAGGGCCCCAGCCAATAACCTAAGATGGGTAGAAGGAAAAGAGGTTTTTACTTCCCTCCCATCGTCATTGGAGAAAGGCAGGCATGCTCGCCTCCATTTAGGGCCAATGGTGAAGGAAAGAGGAGTGGTTTGATGAAATAGAGAATGAAATTCACATGGCTGAACCCCAAAGGCTTCATCAGTCTTCAAATCAGTAAATATTCCTAGTGCATGGTGGTACTGAGGGGACAAACTTTCTGATGAACAGAGTTTATGTCTGGCCTGGCTTGCTACCTTTAATTAATTCAATAGTAAGTGAGTTGTACAATGATCTGGTATTTGTTATTGGGGTGCTAATATACTCTGCATGAAGTTCTTATTGCCATTCTTTAATCCCTTGGAGTTAGACAGTTATAGCAAGCCTGGCTCCACTCCAACATATGTTGCTGGACCTCTTAGGCCCTGGCACTCTCATCTCCTCCCTGGGTATGTGCAATATTACCATACTTTCAATTCCAGTGGATTTTGTTTGCCTTATACAGATAATCATTTTCTTCACCTTCAGGGGAAATGTTCCCACATGAATGAGGCCAGCGGATGCCACCTCTCATAACAATATTATGCAGAAAACACTAGTTAAAAGCTTAAATGACCTTAACTCGATAATAAACACTGGCTTGGGAGCTCAACAACAGCCATAGGCTTTCCCAACCTACTGATTTTCATACCTTACCTATACATACCTTAATAGTGTTAAGTTGGAGGCTTTTCTTCTTTTCCTGAACTTTAATTACTTATTTGATGAACACAATTTTTTAACTGATTGGGGTATTTGCTAAGTTACCTTCACAAAAATCACTGTTTCTCCTTCTTAAATACAGTGTTTCCAGGTTGAACCCAAGCCACAGCCCAGTTAGTGTTGAACTTGACATCTAATCCTACAAATTACCCAGCTGATAGATGGGGGAGAGCGACTATCACTTTCCCTTCGTCTTCATTGCCAACATGAGTCTTTAAACTTTCTGAATTTTCAGGGCCAGTATTTCACAAAGAAATAATAAGTGTTTATCACTTTACCAGAAGTAGAGGCTGGGTGATTCATGGGGCTTCTTCCTAACCAGGTGATTTATTTCCATATACTAGACTCACAGTATTTACCTAAGGAAGATTCAAGATAGTATATATCGTAGAAATCTTAGCTAGCTCATGACCAAATAAAGTACACGTATTAAATCCATGTATGCTCCTACTAGAGTCAATTTGGAAATATCTCCAGGTCCTTCTATGCATGCATCAATCTATAAAGGAAACTTACTAGCTCAACCCTGCTTTTCTTACTAATTCTAGGTCTTTGCTCAAAAGCTTTCTTCTTTGGGATGGATTTTCTGACAGTCTTGTTCCTTCCTTTATATTTCACCCCCTCCCGAGTATGAACTCTCAAATTCATCTTAAATAAAGCCACTAACTTCTCCTTCTAAACATTATATTATAAATATATCTCCTTAGAGCATTACCCATATTGTATATTATGTGCTTGTGTGATATCGTATATGTGTCTGTGTATGTGACATTATACACACACACACACACACACACCTGCCCTGCAAGACAGGTAGGCTCTTGAGGATAGAAACCATGTTTTATTTATCTTTCTAATCTAGTGCTTCTTACAGTGCCTGGAACTGTAAATAAATGTTGCTGAATAAATAAAAGTTGAATTTTCTCAAGGCTAGTAGTAAACATCACTTTTGTTTTTCATGGATTACTTCTCTGGAGATACAAGTGGTTTACACTTACTAAACAAATAACATGCTATGAATTATGCAGGAACATCATTACTTCAATACTTCAGAGAGGAAAAGTCAAGAAAAGAAACTGTTACTTACTTCATGTTTTACACTTAGCCATTGAGAACCAAGTTGCGGAAACTGGATCTCATACCTGACAATTCTGTAGTCTACCCATTAGCTTGTGGTGTGCGAAGTCAACAACAGACTGGATTTCTCCCTTTCCTTTTACGTAATGACCATTATATTATTATCCCCTTAGCTTTTCAAGCTGGACAGGGGATAATATGCTTTAGCAATGGTAAGAAACCAGGAAGGATGTCCCGGCTCTAAGGCAAGGTATAAGCAAATGACTGTATCCTCTGTGCCCCATTTCCCCCTCTGTGAAAAAGAAAAGCACAATATTTAACAACATCACCAAGCTATTGTGAGAATTAATTAGATTTAATGGGGGAAGGGAGGTGAGCTGATTAGGCATGATTCAAATTCAAAGTGTCATTATTCTGTGTCTAAAAATAATCTTGATTTAGGAATAAAATTAATTTGGAAGCTCAATCTTTGGTAATCATCTTGCCATACTTAAAAAAAGGCATAGTTTTAATCAAAACCTCATTCTAACTATAATTCAATGAAGTAAAATGGAATTTCCATTCATCTTTGAAGTAATACAGCCATAGTTCATTTTTTTTGTTTTTTTAATTTTTCTTTTTTTTGCTTAACAATACATTGTGTTAAAAGGTTAATTTTGTGGAAAGGAGTAATATAACCAAATACACATATTGAGCCTACATTTTTGTTGTTGCTGTTTCACATGAAATATTTGTGAAACACTTTAAATCGCTTCTCTAAAGAATCAATAATCAATGTTTTCTGGTTGAAATAACTTTTCAGGTTGTTTCTGCAAAATTCCATCTATATTTTTGTTCAAGAACCATCAGTTAAAGAAGATCTTGGTACTCCCCAAATTAAAAAAAAAAAAAACAAAAAAACAAAAAATTCCTGGATATTTAAGGCTATGGCAAGGAAAAAAAATCACTGAGGTTGTAATCCCCAAAACCAGTGTAACAGATTCATTAACTGTGAAAATCTTTGTGAGAAGTTGAAGTTGGCATCTGAGAAATAGCTGGGACTACATATCTTAGGGAAAAAAGGAAACATTCTTTAAAACAGGTAAGAGTTTATAATCTTAGGAACTTTACGTCATATCTGTTTTAAAAAAAAGTTACACAGGGTTTTTGGTGAATGAAGAGTTTTGGCTGGAAAGGAACTCTATCTATATTTATTTCGAACTGTCCAGAGGAAAGGAAGACCACATAGTCCAGTTAGCAGGAATGCACTCTGTATAGAGAAGTAGGAATTCTCTTAATTTTAACATAAGCCCTATTAAAATTTCCCGTAAGACCTACAAATTCTCATATTAGACTGTATACTCACCAAGGAAACTTTTGATTATTCATTCGATTTCCCCGGACCCTTGATACTGGGGACGGATGTACCCTGAAGACAGATGAGAATAATCCAGTTATTGAAAAAGCATATTCCCAATTGCAAATTTAAAAAATGGCATCTGTTTTATAAATAATCTCTTTTAGAATTGCTTAATACAAAATCCCCAGAACTTGATCCACTCTTAGTAAATGATGCAATTAAATTCCTATGCCTGCAAATCTGTGGTCCTTTTTTCCTTCTTAACCACTCTCAAGACAACAGGTCTGTCACAATGTTCGCTCTGAAGACTCCCAGAGGCAGGACTGATGCACTCATTCAGTCCAACAAAAGTTACTGAATACCTAACCCTTGCCAGGTACAAGAGTGGGTAAAAGTTATCTAAGGTATGGTGCCTGGGTTCAGTAAGCCCTCTTTGTACCTATTCCCATGAGGGTGGGCACAAAGAGGCGTCTAAGTGCCCCCTCTTTCATTCTACCATATTTAAAACTCTAGGACGCAAGACAACGTCATTCAAATATGCTGCGACAGAATCTGCGGGCACCGGGGAGGAAGGAAGGGTGAACAGGTACTTCTAGGAGGAGTTCATTCTGGAAGTGATGCGCTACCACTGGGCTTTGAAGAAAGTAAAGTCAGTTCAAAATTTTAGCCAGATAAAGGAGAAGTGAAGAATATACTGCTTTCCAAGCTTCCAGGGTTGGACTCATCCACTGGAAATAGCTTAAAGCTTCCGGAAACTGCTGTTATCTTCCAATCAAAGCCTAGCTAGTAAACCTCCGCCTCTTTGTGGGTCACTAACTGGCAAAACAATAAGCCCTACTTCCGGCTGCCAGCTTCCTGTTATGGTCTATCTTTAGCCAGGATTTGTGAGATCTAAGCAGTCTTAGCTTATATTACCTTCACCCTTTATGCTTCATACATTGCTCTTATTTACAAGAAGAAAAATGGGGATTTAAAACTGGTCTTAAAGTCCAGTTTGTAAGAAACTCAGCTCTCTGTAGTTATTTAGTAAGTGAAAATCATTCCGAAACAGATAAAGAAGTTCCAGCCCCGCCTAAGGGCCAACTGCAGCCTTTCCCTAAACCCAGAGCCAGACTGCACTTTGCACTCGGAAGGCTTATTTCTTCCAACATCCCTTATTAACATTCTTTTCCTTACAGTGCTTCTCAATGGCTGCTGCAGCTGAGCTGCTCAGCACAGATTTTCTGCTCGGCATGGGGGAGGGGGTGTTAATTATGCAGAAAGATGGAGAGAGGCCAGACAGCCCCTCTGGTGAACTGTCTCATTCAAGCACGGCCCACTTCCTGCTGTTTTGCAGCTACAAGGATCACCTGTTGGTCTTGGCGTCCAGCCAAACTGGGGCCTAGTGGAAATGACAGACTCAGCTAGAAATGAAAGCCAGTTCATAATCCAGTATCCCAAATTGGACAAAGAGGGGGGAAATGCAATAAAAGTACATAAAAATTGTACGAAAGGTAGCAAGCGTAATTTTTTTCTTTTATTCTTTTACTTTCTTTGTCTGCTTGAAATACAATCCTTAAAATGGATATCTAAGCCAGAAAACTTCTCCCCGGTTAAAGCCCCCTGACCTAAGAGGAAGTGCAAGAAATTCTCCTGAACTTTCCCTATACCCTCACTGGGGTATCACAATCCTAACTATTTAAATAAAGTTTAATCAGCCCCAAATACTCACAGTTCTTTAATTTGTCCTCTATCCTTTAGACGTTTACTTTTTTTTATATTGTCCCCTCCTTAACCCTAGGAGTACAAAGAAACTACTTCATGAAACTTCCACTGGGTGAAGTTTAATGACAGAAGTATTCTCTTACTGATGCTGTTTATTGCATATATTAGTGAAGAAAAAGAGGGTCTGTTTAATACATAATTACAACATTCTCTAGGTATTTGTATCTTTTAGGAAAATTTCACTGATCCATAGATCAAATACTGTAAATGGAGAATTTCTATAATGGTTTAGCAGTCTCAGGAAAAGAATTCCTTAGGAAAGTCTTTGGAAAAGAAGTCCTGATTGTGTGTGTATGAACGAATAATTACAAGGTTTCCTAAATTAAAAAGGTAAATCAAGAAAGCTTTATTTTTGTCCTCAAAGGGAAGAAGTACACTGATAACTTGGCCCGTACTTCATCTGATAAAGTAAACCATAAGCCTTGCACTTCACCAACCCCCTAAATTTTATTTCTTCAAAAGGATATGGCATGTTTTTTTGAGCTCAGTCTTTAAACTGTGACACTTTTTGCCATCCTCTTTTGCCTTCTTTCCACATATAGAAGCCAGGCAGGTAGCAACGTCAAAATCTCAGTAGGAGAAACCACCACCTAATCTGCATGTCATGCATTATTCATGACCTCCTGATTCCTGCACCTGCATCTAGGCAGGAAGCTTGCAGGGAATGTTCATTATTCTTCCCTTAGCCTCACACAGGCTCGATTACTGCTAAGCCACTTTGTTCTGTAACTAAGGGTTTCAGGCCTTAGTACTAACTGCTGGATGTGGAAAGAAAAAACACCATGCTGAAGAAAAGGGCAATCTTGGTTGTTGTGTAACATGTATTGAATGTGCTCTTCTGAGACTGACAGTTTGTCAGGTGGAAATGCTCACATTTGGTGATTTACATTACATAGGGAACAGGGAAGCTATACCATTAGGGCCATGTGTACCAATTGTTCTATTTATATTCACTTACTCATCTGAAGCAGACAGCATGTTTATAATTTTACCCAGTGCAGAGCTTAATTTAGCTTTCTTGCTAAGCATATGAGAACTTTTTAGATGACTTAATACAAAAATGGCTCTTTCTTCTTTGGGTATAAGCACCAAAGAACCTAACCCTCAAAACCTTGCATCTTAATGACTACCATTTATAGCTAATCAAGAGAATACCATCACTCTGGTTTTCAGTGTTTTCATAAACCTACCTGAATGGCACCCCCTGGTGACTGAAGGTGGGACGAAACACCTTGATCCCCAACACAAATCATCAGCCACTTATTAATTGCTGGGGAAGGTTACTGGTCCCACTTTACGATCTGCACCACAGAAAAGCTGTGATAATGTAATGCAATCTTATCATCCCAAGTGGAATTAGGATGAAGTGGTTAAGAGTGAAAATTGTGTGATCAGCCTGCCTGACTGAATCCCAGCTTCACTGTTTACCAACTGTGTCATCTTTGGGCAAGTTACTTAACCTCTCTGTGCCTCAGTTTCCTCATCTGGGCAAATGGAGGTAATAATGGTGCCTATTACCTAGGGCTGCGACGTTTAAATCAGTTAACAGCTATAAAATCTTTAGAACGGTGCTCAGTACTTAGGAAGCAGTCAATACGTGTTAGCTATTATCACTAGCAGTGCTGATTAGACATGAAAGGATGGGAAGATAGAGGATAGAGTTGGACTATCCAGGTAATTCCAGGGGATTAAGATTACAAATCTGCTCTACAGAGCCTGCTGTCTTACCTACTATGCTTATACAACTTTACTAAAGATGAGGAAACAAACCAAGAAATAAACATGGACAGAGTAACACAAACCAAAAACTATGGCTTATAAGGTATGGCTTACTCTCAGGCAGCTCATTTTTCCGTTCTTTATTAGAAGATCTATCTTCTGTGTACTAAATTGCATAGTATTTAAGTTATGACCAATTGAAGAACAAGAGAGTAATCCTGGCAATGCAAATTTGCACCCGTTTACAGAGCCTTTACTATTTGCTTGACATTATGCTAAATAATTAAAACATAATATCTTAATTTATCCTGTCATTACTGTCCATATTTTACCTTTGAGAAAATAGGCTTAGAAGATTAGGTAACTTGCTGGGGTCACACAGGTAGTAAAGAGAGAAGTCAGGATTTAAACAAAGGTATGTCTGACCTGTCTGACATCATCCTACTCAGGACGATGTAAGATTATCATCTGATACTTATATATATCCCCTCCAGCCAGCCCAGAGGATGTAATAAGATGAATTAGCATCAGTGTCTTAAATAGGAAATTTTCCCTGTATTTAAGCCCAATTGAATATTTTATAATATAAGTAGATATAAAGTGGAAGGAATGGTTTTCTTGGACTAAATATGAAGCATGTGGGTACTTACAAGAAGTACAGTCATAATAATATACTTTATCTCTTTAACTGTTTATGAATGTTCCTTGTTATATTAGCACTGTATTTAAATACATAATGGACAACACATGTAAATTTTAGAGGGCAGAAATTAATTCTAGCTATATCCATGCTTCCTCACATTCCATTTTCTCTAGAATCCAATGTAGTTGGTGTCCACACCCCTCTGATGAAACCACCCTCATCACAGCCATCAATAGTCTCCATGTTTTCTAATCTGATGGGAATTTTCAGTCCTCAACTTCTCAAATTCTCAGCAGCCACTGACATAACTTATTACTTCATCTTTGAACAGCTTCTTTACTCAGCAGCCAAGACATTCTTCTGGCTTTCCTCCTTTGTTTCTCCTTTGCTTGAATCTCCTCCTCTCATTCTTTCAAACTCTAAATGTTGGCATGGGCTAGTTGCCACTTTCCTATGACCTTTCCTCTGCACTATTTAAACTCACTCTGTAGCTAAAAGAGGCTCCAACATAGCTACCTTCATGACCTTCCCACCCATATCATCCTGACTCCCAAATGTCTACCTTCAGCCTTAGATCTTCTCTGAAAACCAGACCCAGGATTCTTAATATCAACCTTGCTCTGAAAAAAAAAAAAAAAAGGTGTTCCTTCCGGTATCTTCTCAATTTCAAAAATGGCGGAATTATTCACTCAGTTGCTCAGGCCAAAAACCTTAGAATAACATGTGAGTCCACTTGTGCTCACACCCCATAAGTTAGAGAGGCTATTTCATACTGAGAAGAATGAGAATAAATGATTATTCCACAGACCAGTGAAATCTTTCTTATAGGACATCACTCATCTAGCAAGATATTTTATTTCAAGATTATAAGAAATTATTATGTACAAATATGTTCTTTTTCTAAATCCATTTAGGTTATATAATCATGAACCTATATTTTAAT